CAGCTTTGAGACTCATGGGAAGGGAGACATCCTCCTGCCAGTTTTTCTCTGAGGAGTAGAACTAAATCTCACAGGCAGCCTTACATGGCTATTCGTAAAGTCCCTCAAGCACAGCTTAAATAAAAGTCTGCTGGTTAATCAAGCAGCATCCCCTGCCACATCCTAGGCAAGACCATCCCCTTCCACTCTTGCTGCTATTAATGTTGTGATCAGGTGAAAAATTAAAACTGTTGCACCTACTGTGCTCTTCCACCACCACCACAACCTGTTTTTCTTTCCCGGTTCCGTCAGTGCATGGGTAATGATTGGTCCCTGATGTTTAAAAGCAACCAGGAGGTTCTACATCTGCTTCTCCAAGTTAAGACATGGCTATCAGCTGTCCAATAAATTTTGGGTATATCACATGCATCCATGAAGTCAAAGGGGCTCTCAGGCACCAGGTCTTACCTCCTCCATGGCTGGATGAGCTCAGGTGGCATGAGGTGTGGTCAGATACTTGAATGTGATTCATGTGTGGTCCTCTTATATCTTTCAGAAAATAAAGTTTTTCACAGCAAGAAAGCTGAGTGGCAGAGCAATTTTGAATAACAACCCTACAAATGTTCACACATGCATCTGCTGAATTCACTGCCAGGTCAGTAAGGGCTTTAAAGGCTGCCGGATAAGGGTCCTTGCTTCTTTGTCTCTACTGTCCAAGCAGCAACTCTATTCCAGCTATCAAACAGTTGAAACATACCTGTGACTTTACAGGTTGCTTATTTCCAAGGATTCCTCTCCCATTCACTTCTGTCATTTGGATTTTTCGTATGTTTATAACATACAATTCCTTTGTTCTCCCTTTCCTTTCTATGCTGAAAGGCCACACTTCCCAGACCAACAACCCTGAGCTCAGCCTTAACAGCAGGTAAGAGGTGGTCATCTCTCTGCCAGAGCTTGCTTTAGAATGAAAGGAATCTTAATTCTAGCATTGGAAATTAAGATATTGTTATTAGCTCTCATGTTAATAATTTAGAAATTACTGCCAAATCACCATGTTCTCTTAGTTCTCTCTGAACACAGCTGCAAACTGCATTAGGTGTTAGAGTGAATGGATATATTTCAGATGAAATATTTGTACTGAATTATTAGACTAGTCTGTATTACAAAATTACTAATAAACATTGCTTCTGGCTCAATTTAGCCTGAACTCAGTGAACCTAACTAGTGGTGAGAAATCAAAAACTCTGAAATACCTGATGAATGAATCTAACTAATCAAGAAGCCCTGCAGGAAGTAGATGCTAGGATTAATGAGCCAGTGGTTTCACCATGCCATGCTGTTATTTCTTCACATAAATGCCCTCAGATGAGATTACCTTTGTCATGAAAAGGAGAAAAGGAAGGTTACATACTTTCAACTGACAGGTTAACTGTCATACCTCCATTACTACAAGATACATTTTCATGTGCAGAGATTTTTATTCTGAAAAATGAAAATTTAAATACCACAACACAAATTAAACCACATTTTCATTTCTAAGAGCAGGGATCATTACTGCTTGTACAATAATATAATCCATGCTGCAATGTTACTTGATCCCTTGCCTTGCGCAAACTTTCTTCCCCTATTAGTAATTGCTCAATGATTGCAATCTCCAGCAGTGGGTAAGAGCAGATTCTGCCTTCCATGGGGATTTAAGCAGAGGAAGAGAGGAGAGAGAGAGTGTCAAAGCATTTCATCAAGAGAGCAAATGAAAGGTTCAGTGACATTATCTTTATGTATATTCCTTAGACATTAGGGGTGATGTTGTATTTAGAGGAAAGCAGAATTACATGAATATGTGCCGATGTGAAAATGAATCCATACATAAGAACATAAATCTCAGCCTACTTACACACTGGGTAGAACAGTTTAAGGCTAAAATGCACCTTAACATAAGCAAATAAGCACAGCTTTTAACAGCCCCAGTGCCTGGTGTTACCTACTTAGTCAGTAATAGGCTAATTGTTATTCAGCATAACTATTCCTTCTCAATTTGTATGGAATTCATTCATTTATTTTGATCACTTTATGTGAATGAAGAAAAGCTGTTCATGTTGTTAGATAGAACTGGTTCATGTTGTTTAATTTTTAGCTTTTAACATCAGCAAGATTGAGACTTTATAGTAAAATAATTCAGACAAAGCATGTAGCATATGTGAATGAAGCCTGTGGTCTCCTTCCTTCCACCCATGTTAAACACATAGGATCATCAGCTTAGACGTTTTATGCTGCAAAGCTTCAGCGGATGCTAAGGGTACATATAATTTCAAAAATCTCCAGGACTCAGAACACAAGGATCTATTGCTATGGAAACAAATCAAATTTGTATCAAAGTTGTGTAGAATCAAAAAGCTTTGCTCATAACCAAGACTACAGTTGCATAGAATATGGAGGAAATGATGGATGTTCTAAGAGCGAGCATTAAGCTGAAGGACCTTTGTAAGGCCCCTTTCACAGAGCTGCAGTGCTCAGTGTCAAGAGTTGGATCTTACAGGTTGTGTCTCAATCCCCTGCCCCCAGCCAGAAAGAGCATTTTTATCCACCATTAAAAAGCACATCTTTTTTTAAGATCTTCCGTATCACACTTTACGACATTCCTACATCATAAAGCTGTCTTGCTTATAGCAATATAAAGCAGCTGTAAAAATTATGTGCTTGTAAACAACCTTCCATACATTCGGAAGAAGTAGAGTGAGATTTGCACTCTTCTGCATGTAAGCGGAGACCTTTCGCCCTCCTGGCAGCCACACTATGGGGAAGAGAACACTGTGGAACTGGGAAGACCAAGGGACATCCCAGCTGGCTGTTCCTCCCCTTAGACCATGTAGGGTCACCAGCTGGATAGGGAAGCTGGAGGTACTCTAACCAGCTCTGCTCCATAAGCAGCCCCTGTGCCCATGGCTGCACTAAACCGATCACGGACCTCAATCTCAGAGCCAAGCCCGGGCACAGAGGGGCAGCTGCTCTGCCCAAGGCTGGGCTAGGGACTAGAGGCAGGTCTAGAAGGAGAGACAGAACATGGTGACTTCTTTTCCCAAGTGCTACTGTGGTATGGATTGTGGTATGGGACCTTGCTTTCCTATCCTAGACTACCTCAGGTGGAGCATCCTGGGTTGTTACAGCACCTGCAGGAGCAGACTCCTGCAGGAGGGCGTAGGGCTCTTTATTCAGGTGACTCCCAGAGGACTCACTTGTGGTCTGGATCACCAATAATTTATTCTGCTTTTATTTCTCTTTTAAATTAAATATGCATATGTAATATGCACTTTGGAGCGGGCAAGGACCCTTCTGCGGGTGCCTATGGAGTCGTGCACTCTCAGGTGTGTAATTAAGAGGTGTGTAATTGATGTACAAGGAGAAGAGATCTTAGAGTATTGCATAAAAGGCAAGGGCGAGGGGGGAAGAAGAAAAAAAGAAGCCCAAACCTGGCTGTATGATGCTTGGCAATGTACTGCATTTCTTTTTCCCACCATATTCAAAGTTTGCACAGGAGTGAAGCAAGAGTTCTCTCTTTCATGGGGCTTGCTTTGCCAGCAGGCATGCCCTCATTTCACATTCAAAAAAAACTGATCATTTCTCTACTGCCTGCCTGCCCCGGCCTCCCGCTGACCCACTCTCCTTCATCCCATGCCCTGCCCTGCTTCACCACAAAACTTTTTGTTACTCACACTTTAAAGGCCAACCACACAGAAAGATTAACAAAAGTTTATTAATCATGAAGTATTAAAATTGTGACAAGTGAAAGGCATCAATGCAAAGTTAAGCAAGCAAACTATCCCCAAACTTGTGACAAAGGACTCAGTGAATACCACAGAAGGAAGTCCTGTCTATTTTTTTTTTTTTTTGCCTGCAGTTGAAGACACCTCTCATATCTCACACGCCACATCAAAATCTATAATTCTTCATATCACATACTGAAAATGATTTTATTTATCCATTCACATTAACTTGATATAAACGTGTCCGGAAAAGTCAAGTAATATGTTTTATATTAGCTCAAACATTTATTAAGTAACCCAAAATTCAATAAATAAGCACAGACAATAAGTTAAAACATATCACGAATCGACCAGTATGTAACAAGAATGCTTTATCTACACAAAACATCCTATTTCACATCGTTTGTTCATTCCTCCAGCGGCCCTGCCCTGCGGAGGGGTGACCGGCACATGCAGGCGGGCGGGCCGCGGGGCCGAGCCGGGCCGGGCCGGGCCGGGCCAGGCGGGGCGGGGGGCGCGGCGGTGCCTCCGCCGGCGCTGCGGAGGGACAATAGCAGCAGGAACGTAAATAAATGCGTAAATAAAGGTAGGGAGGATCGGCAACTCAACTGTCACGAAATCAAAGATCCGAAAAAGGGAAGCGCTCTTGCGCGCTTTTTTCTTCCCCCTTTTATCCCCTTTGTTTTTTACAAAAAGAAGCTTTTAATTTTTTTTTCTTTTTAACCCCATCACATTCGCTGTCGCTCATTAATGCTTAATCAAAATGGATTTGATTCTCTCTGGGGTCTCCGTGCCTTTTCGCAAACCCGCCCGGCCGTCCCCCGACGGCGCCCTCGCAGCGGAAGGAGCCGGCGGCAGGTCGCCGCTCCTAAATAAACCACAAAAATTATGAAAACAGAAACAAAAATGCATTTCTTTGCAAAGCCAAAGCCGGACGGGCGGACGGCGGGAGAGCCGGGTCGTGGCGACGGAGGGCGGCAGAGCCGGGCTCGGGGCGGCCGCGAGTCCTCCCGCCGGGCGGGGGGACCTGGGGGCACAGGGGGCGCGGGTGACGCGCGGGGGCAGAGAGGGCTTGGGGAGGGTCGGGGGTGTTTCTCGGCCCACAAACCAGTCTGTTGGTGTCTGATTTCAGATCCTGAGTCGACTCCCTGGTAAGTCGGGTGAGGGAAGGCGGGGGCGCGGGGCGAGGCGGGGGCGCGGGGCGAGGCGGCGGCGGNNNNGCGGCGGGGGCGGGGGTGGCGCGGGGCGAGGCGCCGGCCATTAGGTGAAACTCATGGAGACTGTGTGCTCTAGTGCTTTGCGGCGGAGGGAGGCGATGCTGGTTCCCCGCCACACGTCGCTGCTGTCCGGGGAGCTGCAGAGCTGGGGAGAGCCGGTCACGTTGCTGGGGCCGGGCAGGGAGGCGGGCACCATGCCGGGGAAGGCGGGCTGGTAGAGGTGGGACTGCAGCCCGGCGCCGTTGGAGCCCGCCAGGCTGTTGGAGAGGCCCATGGAGTTGGGCGGCGGGCCGGCCGCCAGGCTGCACTGGGACAGGGACTGCGCCATGGCTTGCTGCCGTCCCAGCGCCGGCGGCAGCGGCAGCTGCGACACGCCGGGCATGGCGGCGGCGGCCCAGCGCGTGTCGTTGGCGTGGAAGGAGCACAGGCTGTCCCCCATGGCGGCGGCGGCGGCGGCGGCGGCCGAGGGGAACTGCGGCAGCCCCGGCGTCGGCAGCAGCGTGCCCGGGGCGCGGAACACGTTCGTGGTCTTCTTGCGCTTCTTCCACTTGGCGCGGCGGTTCTGGAACCAGACCTGCGGGCGGCGGGCAGCGACACGCTCCGTTAGCCACCACCACCCCCCGCAGCCGGGAGCCCCGGCGGGACCCCCGCCCGGCTCCCGCCGCCCCGGCAGCCTCGCCCCACCGGCCGCGGGAGCTCTTCGCACCCGCAGCCCCACGCGCGTCCCCATCACAGGTTGACGAAACCGCTGAAACTTTATAATGAAAGCGATCGATTTGTCTGTCCTGGGCGGGAGACTTCAGGAGAGGAGCCCGGCCTTCCCCCGGAACAAAAAAGACAAAAAAAAAAAAAAAAAAAAAAAAAAAAAGGCGACCAGTCTACGGCTCTGGGCCTTGCGTGGACGCGCCCCTGCCCCGGGCCAGCCAGGAAACCCTCTCACAAAACCGCCCGCATTTGGGTAAAAACCACCAAAACATAACAAAACCAAGCCTATAATAACAAAACCAGAGGTGGTTTGGGTGAGTGGCAGGGATGGTTTGGTGGGTCTCGCCGCACCGCGGCCAAAAGCAATAGAGCCAGTCGTAAGCCGGGAGAAAGCGCGTCCACCTGAAATCCGTGGGAGTGCAGTGCCCCATCCTGCCGAATTCCACCCTCTCAGACTCCATAGGCGGACTGAGAAAGGCGGAGGCCAATTAGCGGGAATGAACGGCCGTAAGGGAGCTAAATATTATATGAATAATTGAAAAATCGCGTTCAATTATGTTTTAGGGTTAAAAGTCAAATTGCGGCTACAAAATCTTTTTATGTTTCATGGTTTGCTGGTGGTGTAAAGAATCTCCATCAGGTCTGATCGCCTAAGTTCATAGCTACGCTGCATATGCTTTTAAAATGTGAATGTTTCCAGTTGAAAACTGGTGCATGACAGATTAAAATGCAAGGAAAACCTGGGAGAGATTTTGAAAATGCACACATCACAACTCTAGAAATATATTAACCATGAGCATTTGGCAACTTTGAACTCCTTTTAAAATGCAACTAGCTCCTGAAAATTATTAACACAACAGTGAGAATCTAATGGAGGTTGGAATCTAAAAACCTACCTTGATGATATCTGCTGTTACATTAATATAGACATACTGTAAATGTATTTTAAAATATATAGCCCATTTAATTCCCCAGCTATAAACGGGTGAGAGAGTGAAAGCAATAGAAAGGGAGACAATATCACTTTTGTTTTTCTTTTTTTTTTTTAATGTTCTTTTTATTTCTTTTTTTTTTTTCTTTTTTTTTTTTGTTTTTTTTTTTGTTTTTTGGTTTTTTTTTTTTTTGTTTTAAGAAGCCGAAGCTTTATGAAGATCTCATTGGAATCCAGCGGATGATTAATGTGAAGATTTGGTAGGAAATCTGGAGAGCTGTATTAAAGCTCAGATCTCAGGTTCATTTCGATCAGCCAGCCGTGAACTCTGGGCCGAATTCATTACACTTTAATAGTGCTGGGAGAGGAAGAAAATGCAATTTCTCATTCCATTAGAAAACTAGAAAATACTCTCAGCTTGTCCCCTATTAAGATGTGGCAGGTGACGGGACCATTGTGGGGGACACGGTCAATGGAATTACAGCACATTATTTTTGTTCATATAAAATATTGGAAGGCAAGCCTGACTGTGCAGAAGTTATTTCACTGATTTAGTTTTTATGTAAATAAAATATTGAAAGTTAATTAATCCGTGCTAGAGACTAATGATTATGCTTATTATATTGCATTTGATCGCATAATTTGCATGATTCTCGCATTGCTGCTTAATAAGCCATTCCAGGTTATAAATAATTCTGAAATTGGTTTCTAATAATGGCATGCTATAAAAAGAATGGTTTTATTACAGCAGCTTGAAAAGCAGAGCAATATCAGATGTGGAATTGGACTCCCGTTTAAGCATCAGCCAGTTTAATAATTATTTAAATGTATCATATACATTAAATACAGATCTAAAATGAGGAAAGTGGTGATTTATCCTAGCATCTAAAACCCTTAAAAACATATACAGCCGCTATAAATTAAGCATTTGGAGCATTTCTTAATCAATGTGGAGTCCATGTACTGAAAGGAATGTGTAGGCTATCTATTAACTATAAAGAAAACTGTAAAGTACTCGTATAAGAACATAAACTAATTATTATTTAATTTAAATTTGATCAAGGACCAGTGATACGTCGGATTTTGAAGTAAATATATTAAATATTTTTGCCTTAGATTACATAATGTTAATCATTTTGAAGTGTTAATTAAGAAGGTTGTGTTGATCTGATTACTTTTTCAATTACAGAACATTATTGTAAAAAAAATTTGAATTGACACTCTATTAAACTGTTTTATCAGCAGTCTCGAGCTATTAGCATTGGTTTAAGATTATGCCAAGGCCATTAAAACACTTTGTCTTTCTTTCTACGAATTTCTTTGATGTGCTGTTAGAAAATAACTATTTCCATTTTATATTTTACTTCATTTACCACACTCCTAATATTGAAATTGGTATCATTAACCTTTGAGAAACCCAATAAAGTTTAATAGACCTCGTTTTCTTTTTTTCGTAGTCAGTTGTCCAATTATATTTTATTTGTGAATCTAATTTCTATTTTAATTTAAACTAATTATAGTTCTGTGTAGGCTGAGTCAAATTGTTTTACTTTTTAAAGCAGACGTGCTTTTTCTGTCACATCCAAGAACGGAATCTGTTTTCCTTCATAAAACGTTCATTTAGGGATCTCTCTTCACGTGTCTTTATTTAGCTGAGGAGCCTGTGCTTGCCGATAGGGATTTTGAACAGTGACTGCGCTGAAGTGTTTCATCAGCGGCAGTCCCGGTGCACTGTACTGAGCCGGGGTGTGCATCCCACAAGTGCCTCTATTGTGCAGCCTTTCATTCCTCGGGATGGACTCGCCTAGAAAGTCGCTAAAATAACCTTATGCACAAAAAAGCTGCGTCTGAGCAGTCTAGAGCTTTGAACCTTCTCCCCCTTTACCAAATTTCGTTTATATTTATTTGCCTAAATAGTTTCCTACTGTCCTACTGTTCTGTGTACATATATATATATATATATATATATATATATAATATATATAATATATATATATATATATTATATGTATATATATATATATTAGAGAATAAAGTGCACCCTAGATGTTGAAGTTACTCACTACTCCCGCCGTTCCCAGGCATTTATAAAAGCCAGTATGGGGAAAGTCCGAGTCCAAACACAACTGGCTTTTATCGAAGTGCCTTTTTGTGCCTTTTTGCCAGCCGATATGCCTTCCCTCGCACCCCACCTCGGCTCTCAGGGCGGTGGGCTTTGGCGGACGCCCCATCCCGGCGGTGCCGCGGCCATGTCGCCATCAGCACCCTGGACAGCGGCCCCGCGGTCGCCACCGGACTCTGTTCCGGTGGAAAAGGAGCCAATCCCGGCAGGTTCGGCTCGACTCTTAGCGCCGGGCTATTGCGAGGACTGAGACCGTTCTTTTCGGGCTGTCCCTCCCCAGACTGCTTCCAACCGCGGGTCGGGCCGTGGGGCTGAGGGAAGGTCAGCCCACGCCCCGCTCGGGACCACCGCGCTGGAGGTGGGTAGGATAGAGGAAAAGGGGACATCCCAAGGTGACATTTTTGCGGAAAGGGGAGCGACACATGTCTGATTACAAGGCTTTCCGACCAAACTGTTGCTCTCAGGGGTGGGTTATTTGCCCCACCGTAGGGCTGAGGTCTGGGGCGCCCACCCCCTCCCCGATGTGCCTGGCCTCACTGCCGGCCGTGCAGCCGTCGGTGCGACTGGGGAAGGGCCGGCAAGGCACTGCGCGGGGGCGGCTTTTCATACCTGCACCCGGGACTCGGTGAGACCGATGCGCAGGGCCAGCTCCTCCCTCATGAAGATGTCCGGGTAGTGAGTCTTGGCGAAGCTCCTCTCCAGCTCGTTGAGCTGCGCCGGCGTGAAGCGAGTGCGGTGCCGCTTCTGCTTCTGCTGACCCTGCTGCTGCCCAGCCTGGCTGGAGTTCTGGCCGCCCTGCTGGCCTTGCTGCTTGTCAGGGTCTTTGGCGCTGACGGCTAGGGAGCTGGGGTTGGATCCCACCGTGGTGATGTCCTCTCCCGGCAGCAGGGTGGTCCCTTCTACCGTGTCCGAGTTGGGAGCCATGTCTCCCGGGTGTCCCCCCGGATCCGAGCCGCCGACGCCCAGCCGACACTTGACCGCCTCCCGGTGTCCCAGCAGCTCGGCCGCGTCTTTCATCCCTGCGGAAGCAAAGGAGCGGCAGTCAGTCGGCTGCAGCTGAGCACAGATCCATCAGAGCCCCTCTCCAGTGCACTGAACTGCAGAGAGACATCCAACCACCGCCACCGCCTCCCCCCGCCGTCCCCGGCCGGCCGCCCGCCAGACCCGCAGCCCTGCTCGGCTCCACGACGCGCAGACACCCTGGCCCGGAGCGACCCGGGCGGCGGGGAGAAAACTTTACATAGAGCAGCTCCTCTTCCTGCTGAAATAACCAGTTCCCTGCCCGGCCTTCCCTTGCAAGACCAAGGGAAGGGAAGAGGAGGACAACAAGTTTTCACGGGTTCAACTTGGGTTTTCCAGCGGAGCTGGTAGAAGAAAGAGACGGAGAGAAAGAAATAAGGCTCGAACCGCCCTGTTGCCGGGAGCGTTACCTCCCCGACAGATGCGCGGGGACCTCAGTCAGTCTGGCCGATCTTACCCCTCTCCTCCTCCCGCTTCTCTAAACAAACTCATGAATAACCATAAATAGATAGATACAGATATTTCTCCCTTCTATTTATCTTTCTTTCTTTTCTTTTCTTTTTGTTTTCTCTTTTCTTTCTTTTTTTTCTTTTTTTTCTTTTTTTTCTTTTTTTTCTTTTTTTTCTTTTTTCTTTTTTTTTTTTTTAAGGAAAAGGAGGGAGAAAAGCAAACGGGCGAGCAAGAAAAGGCCACACAGAACTCCGTAAACACCATCGAGCTCATCTGTCCTAAAATAATAATCACCATAATAATAATGTGTAGGTATGTATATAAAAACTGGGGAGAGAAAAATTAAATGATCCACAACTCGCTGTAGATCTACATACACCGTAGGTCTCCCTCTCTTCTTTTTTATGTTAAATCAAATTAAACTTTAATACAGTACAATTACTTTTAAAGGAATTAGCCCATTTAGAACGCATTAAGGTAAAATAAGGAACAAATTGTCAATTTCCTGCCCCGGCTTCCTCCCCGCTCGCCGCCGCAGCCGGTGCAGCCGCCGTAGGGCGGGGGGGTGCCGGGGGAAACTCACCGAGACGGGCGTCCAGGAGGTCGGCGTGAGACAGCATCGCGCACCGCTCCAGGGCGAAGGCTGTTCCCCCCCAAATTTTAGCGGCCTTAAGTTATTTAAAATAGATATAAGATATGAGATATATATATATAGATATATATATATATAGATCGTCTAAATGAAAGAAAATTCGGTGTGTGGTTAAAAAGGGGGTCTCTTGCATTATAATGTCCTTTAGAGAGACGGGGAGGTGCTTAACACTTCAATGAACCCGTGAGCAGCTCGGCGCGGGGACCAATCAGGAGGGCAGCCTGCAAATGTCAGCGCCCGGAGCGCCCCGCTCCGCCCGCCCGCCGCCCGCCCGCTGCCGCCGCCCCGGCCTCCCGCCGCCCCGGCCCGCCCGGCCCGCACCGCGCCCGCGCTCCCTTACCCTGCTCCGCTCGCCCTGGCCGCCCGCCTTCTCCTTCTCTCCTTCTCTTCCAAATGCACATTTGCCACACTCGTCCGCTCCGGGTCGCCCCTGATTTATCGGCTTTTATTGTTTTTAATCCTCCTCGGAGCGCACCCTCTCACCGATCAGTCTCCCGAGGGTCTCTCAAGCTCAGAGCCCACCGAGGGCTGTGAGAGGGGGAGACGGGCGGCGAGGGGTCGGGCAGCGCCGGCCCCGCTGGCCGGCGGCCCCGGGGAACCGGGAGCGGGAGCAGCAGGGGAAACTGCAGCCAGGCTTTCACCCACGCAAGCCCCGACGGCTGCTGGGCGTCGAGGAAAGAGAAACTTGCCCGAGTTCCCACAGCGGGCCGTGCTGCACAGGCTCGCCTGGCCCCCGGGGCTGCCCGCCACCTCGGCCCGGCCCCGCTCGGAGCCGAGGCAGAGCGCGACGAAGGGCAAGGGAGCCCAGCACCATGCGTCCCGGCCGCCCGTGGAGCTCTGCCTCCCTGCCCGGGATTTTAACCCCCTTAAGCCCTATTTTTCGGGCAAAGTTTCCAAGTTCGGCTAGCCTACAAACCCAACTTAAAGCAGTAAATAAAGTTAAATGCTTTTTATTTTCCTCTTGAATATATTAAACTACTTGAACAATTTAAAGTGCTTTGCAGAAGTGAAGCGAACCATTTCTAATGTTCTGATTTTTCAAAGCCAGCCAACAACAAAGTTTAGATTAGTAATATATTTCTAACCAGAGTAATTTTCAAGATCATTAGGCATTTATGTAATTAGTGCCAAATCTATAAGCTTTTATTACGATTATTAGAGTAAAATCAGTATAAATTTGTACTAATTTACTACTGTTTAGACTTGGCTGTCAAGCCAAGAGGTTCTTATTGTAAATGATAACTGAGGAAATTAAGTGCAAAATTCTGTACCATTTCTGATCCGCTCCTAAACAATCCGTTTCAATTGTATTTGTAGCAGAACATAATGCCCTTTTAAAGTTATTTGACTTGTATTTTTATTTGCAAAACAAGAAAAATACCCTCTACGCGGGCACAATGAAAACTGATATTTACTACTTCCAACTTGATGAACATTGATTTTTAATTCAAAAGTGATGCAATTAAGATTATTCATTTAGTGCAAATAAAGCTTCCACCAAAAAGCGAGCCCAGTGAAGTCTATGTTAAATAAAACGGAGCCAATGGCTTTTTTTTCCGCCATCCAATTGACTTACACGAAACACTGTAAATACTGCATGCGAACAGATGCAAGAGTGGTTTTGTTTGCAGCTCAGATGTGCAGGGGTTTCGGCAGAGACTGAAGGAGACAAAGGAACCGGCCGACCGATCTCTAGGGCAGTTTTGCTGCCTTTTTTTTTTCCCTCCTCCCAGCTCAGGCTACATTGATTCAATTCAGCTTCCGAGACCTCGGGCTGTTGCGAAGAACCTGGGTACTCGGGAACGGCCGCTCAGAGCAGGGAGAGAGACCCAGAGCCGGGCCACAATTTAGCCGGAGACAGAAAGAAAGGAGATGGAGGTGGGGTGGGAGTTTCGGGATTATTCTTTTTTCCCCGGCCGGATGGGTGACTGCGGAGATAGCACATTCGCTGTTCTTTTTTCCTTTGTATATTATTCTCTGTGTGCAGCTGTAGGGCAGGAGGGGAAGACCTGGCGGTGGAAACTGCTGGGAGGAGTCCCCCGGCCCGCTGCCGGGCGTCGGGACCCGCGGAGCGGAGCCGGCGGAGTCGCTGGGGAGACGGGCCGGAGGCGCGGGGGGACGCGCAGCCTTTCGTGGCCGCGGGAGTCTGGCCCTGCCCGGGCCGGGGTGAGGCGAGCGGCCAGGGGCTGGCCGGGGCGCCAGGGGCTCAGCTTTAGCTGCGTGTATCGGCACAAGTGTGCGGCGCTCGAGGTGCCCGCAGCCGGCTTCTGCCGAGCGCGCCGTGGGCAGGGTGGCAAGGCGTGCGTGTGCATCCATTCCGTGTTGTTGTATGTTTCAGGTCGATAAATAAATGTGTAATAGTTAATGTGCAGACACATCAGAGTAATAACAATGGGATGAAATCAAAGGATTATCAATCTCTGTTAGTAACTGCTGAATAACAATGTTGCGGTGTGATTGATAGCGCGCTTCATTTTATGACTTTTCTATTGCTCTTGATTTTTATAGCAGTATAAACAAACTAAATCATTTCTTCTAAGACTTCAGATCGCAATCGTCTTAAGGGAAGGGGGGAAATCAGAGAAGGAAGTCTGCGGGAGAGAAAAGAGCGGACTGGGCTGACACTTACGCGTGTCAGAAAGAAAATGACAATGGGGCACATGTAAAATACCCTAATCACATTCCGCTTTCGCTCACTCCCGTTTTGTCAAGTGCCCGAATTCACCTGGGCAGCGTCGGAGATGTATTTACAAGAATTTTATTCCCCGTCATCTTTCCATTTTCCCAGTGTAGCCAGAAAACTGCCAGTCAACTCCATTCCCTGTTACAATTTACGGTATTCCCCACATGATCATAGGAACTGAAGTTCCTAACAAGGAAAGGCTTTAGCACAATGGCCAAAAATCTTCAGAGTGACACGGGTGTCTTCAGAAATCACTTCAGAGCAAAGTAAAAGGATTTTCTATGACGGATCCAGTGATTTTTCCTCAATAAATAGGTTTTAGATTGTTACACACACGTAGAACTGGAACAAAGGGCAGTACCAGAAAATATATTGGTTGCCCCTAATAAAATTTATTTAGACAGTTTATTTCTCATAAAAAATAGAGATTGAATTTCGTACAGAAGCGCCTGCCAAGAGGCCAGGCACTGGGAGATCATCTCCCCCCGCACCTTCCTTTGCCTTTCTTTCCTTTTCTATCCCATCCCTTCCTTTCCCTGCCCTGCCCGGCGGCGCCCGGCGGGCCCGATCCCGGGGTCCCGGCCGGGGCCGGCTCTGCCCTCCCCTGGACAGCCCCCCCGCCCACGCCAGCCGATCCGCCCGAGCGAGGGCCGCGGGAGCGGGGCGTGCCGCGTCTGGGAGTAATATAACCCTAATTCTCCAGCGCTGTGACCCTGGTAAGAAAGGGTAGAGAACTTTCCAAACCCCAGAGCTCCCCCTCTCCCCTCCCCGCTAAACTCAAGCCCTGATTGAATGAGGCTGTAATATAAACAAGTGTATTTAACCAATTCTGCTCTGATTTAGAAACAGAACCTTCTTTTATCAGAATAATTCTATTTGGACCGAGAAACACAGTAAAATAAGGTTAAACTGCTAAAGTCAGCAGGGTGGCTTGGCATAAATGGCTGATAAGGTTTGTAATTTGATATTTTATTTATGTATTTCTTGAGCATCCATCCAGTTAAGCCGGCTGCTGTATGCAGAGCACCGTAATTGGTTTTTACACGTAGCAACGCTCACAGCGTTTACCAAATGCAACTTTTGGTTGTTGGCTTGTTCGTGAGGCTGCTTTTTTTTTTTTTTATTAAATGTTTTTAAATTTTATTTTTATTTCCAGACACTAGTGCTGATAAATCGGATATTATTATTCACGTTCCCGCTGTTCAGTGCTGCATTGTTCGCTTTAATGAGAAGCGCCTCCCTCAATAATTAACGACCTCACATTTCCTTATTTTCTTGCCTGATGAAAAGAATCAATTTTAATTCATTGTAAATTACAGCTATGCTTTTGAGTGTTATTTGCTTACTTTTCCACATCGACATACCCTAAACACAAATGACAAATCAAACTATATCCTTTCGTTAGGGGTAATTTGGAGTTAAGAAATGGAAAAGCATAAACACGTGTTTTCATTTCAATCAACCCTCTCGAAAATATGACTTCTTTGGAAACGAAGGACAAGGCTGCCAGCAGCTACAGATCCCAATTTATACATTCTAGTCAGAGCTAAACGCGACGATCATCGCCGCTTTACGACACTAGGCTGCATGTAGCATTCTGTCGCCCTTATAAATACACTTCTTTGAAAGCAACTTTATGAAGTTTAAAGGCATCCGAGGCAAGAACGCTCGCAACTGATCAGAAACGGAGCCGTCAGGTGTCCCGAAAACAGCCTCCCTAAGGTCGGCGGGGAGAGCTCGGGCCACCTGACACCTCTCCTCTAACACTGTTAAGAAGAGCATTTTCCCATTTTCTTATTCATGTAAATATCTGCATCCGGCTACAGAGGAGCCAAAGGCAGCGCCCGCGACTGTCTCCCCGCGGGCAGGCTGCGGGCAATCTCCGACAGTGAGACGGTTACTTTAGATTGAAAGGATGGCTTCTATCAATTAATTTTAATCAGAGCGATGACAAGCAGTCTTTTATGGGGAAAAAGCTATTTTAATATAAAGGAATGCCTGACGCCCCTGCCCGCTCTTACCCGACCAGATGCAAACTCTTTACGCACAAAAATCACCTCCCCCTCTCCATCCAGCTTCGTATGCATGCATGTATTATGTATATATAGGCTTTTGACATGATATTAAGTTCATAAACTTAAAAATGCGGAGTCGAAGCGTTACGCACTGTGCTGTAGCTTTTGCAGTCGGACAGGAATTATTTGGGCTGCCCCGAAAGGCAAAGGGAACCCTGGTATTAATAATTTTTCAGATACGTCCCAGTTTAGGCAAACAGCACACTGCCG